GGTGTTGGTGCCTTCAAATAGAGTTCCCAACCATTAGTTCTTGGAAAGTACCCTGCTGGTAATATTCTGTTTAGTTTTGGAATATTCATGGCTGGGGCATCTGTGAGCAAGATCGATCCTTTTGGCGTTTAAGCATATGGGCATGTGTGCTATAAGAAGCCGTACCTTTTTCATTCACCAAAAACAACTGATCATTCCCTCAGTCCTGTATCATTGGGAGGCATACAGAAAAAATCTGGTTGAGAAAGTGAAGGCAATGGAAAATGTAGTCTGGGGGTGGTGATGGCAGATTTGACTCTATGGGTCACTCTGCAAAGTATGGCACATATTCGATGTTCTGCTCACCAATTGACAAGATTGTTCATTTTGAGCTAATACAGGTAATTATATTACTATGATTGGTTTCCAATTTAACTATACGAACATGTCACAGATTACAGTTATGACTAGGAGGACGTAACAAGTGTATACTAATTCTAGAGACACAACTGTGTTGCAACTATGGTTATTTCCTTCTTTCAGAGCAATGAATCGGGTGGAAGCAATCAAATGGAGCTTGACGGGGCAAAACGGTGCTTCTCGTTTTTGGAAAAAGCTGGTATAACAGTCAAGAAGTTTATATCCGATCGACATGCTGGCATCGCAAAATGGGTGAGAGAATCCAGACCTCAAACAAACCACTTTTATGACATCTGGCATGTTGCGCGATCGACCACAAAGAAATTTCTAAAAGCTGATAAAGAAAAAGGCTGTGAAGGCATTGTCCGTTGGATCAAGGGTGTCCGAAAACATTTGTATTGGTGTGCAACGTCTACACAAGAAGGGTTTGGGGAAATGATTTTGGCCAAGTGGAGGTCATTTAAAAACCATGTTGCCAATCGACATGAGGGACATGCTAACAAATTGTTTCCTCAATGTGCACACGATGAGCTGGAAACACCCCGAGAATGGATTAAAATAGGTTAAGTTATGCACCCGTTCTTTATATGCCCACCTTTTCCAAGATGACAAATTGCTTTTTATGTGGAACATCATTTAGGCACCAATTAGCAGTTGTTACAGTTGATTGCCTGATGTATTAAAAAAAGCCAAGATTCTTATAATATATTAATATGTGAAATGTCTATCATTATAGGAACGCCTGCTTTTGACAAAGTGCAACAAATAATTGGAGATACAAGATTGGAATCAGGGATTAAGAAACTATCGCCAAATGCACAAACCAGTTGCCTGGAGGATTTCCATGCCACATTAAACCACTGGCATCCCAAAATGTTATGTTTTTCATGGTTGGGATCCTACTGCAGACAAGTTACATATCATGTGATAAATCAATTATGATAAATCGGTTTTTCTATCTTTTCGAATTCAAAGTTGTGGAAATATCTCACTCGCTTTATACTATTCCGCGATTATACGCGGGCGCAGTCGTAAGGCCTTCCATTTCTGATGTATGAGATCGTGGGTTTGATTCTTGCAACGCATTCAAACGAGAAACGAGTCTGTAAAAAAAAAGAAAGAAAACTCGAGAAACGAGTCTGTATATGTACTTGTTTCACCTGTCTGAGTGTCTGAGTAATGGTAATATTTAATTTGGCTTTTAATTTTTTAGGACTGCTTTAGCTGTACTTCATTTTAATGAAAATTTAAGAAGAGATTGCCAGAAGACCAAAACTGGAGAGCAATACATGAAGGTTACAAACCCAAAGTACAAACTGGAAGAGGAGATTGTACGAGAAGTAAAGAGACTGCCAACTTATGGTAAATAATATTTTGCATTTGCATAAAAGACCTTATTATGCCCATGCTCATAAGGTCCATTGAAAGGGCATTGCATTAATGTTGGTTTTTTTACATACAATTATGTACTGTCACCTCCACCAGGTGACTGGGGCATATTATTTTATCTTTTGCACAACCAGTATTTCATTCATATCATATGCAGGTGTCTCTGTTTTGAAGCGTGGTGGTGGTGGTGGGGGGGGGGGGGGGGGGGGGGGGGGTGGTATTAGAGGGAGATGGGCAAAGAGGATTATTGGGGAACAATATGGTTAACATACAAATTGTCTATGTTTCATATAGAGTATGTCAACTGCATGGGAGAAATTTTGTTCACTGTTGATAGCACAACATTGGAAGAGATTGGCAAGCGGTATATCAGTCTTTGCAGCCGAAATCCTTGACCAGTCAATTTACAGAACGTTTAGCGAAGAAAGAAGCGGTTGAGAAACAATTGAAGCGCAGAAGCCTAGATAAAGTTCCATTGCACCCCACAGGCGAGTGATTATATTTAAAATTATTCACAGGGTTAAAAGTCAGTATGAAAAGGGGAAATAGCAGACTATTTTCTATCTCTTGTTTTATTTTTATTTATTCAGCTAGGAATGGCATAATCCATTTTTAGCTGATGAATATGGTCTGTGTACAATTTTTTAACTGTTCATACATTTACACACATTAACCCATAATTGGTCCTATTTTAACAGAGGCAGACCAGGACAAACTACAAGACCAAGTTGAAAAGGAAAAACAGAAAAAAACTAATAATGTTAAACAACGAGCCGCACCAAAATGTAGGAAATGTGGAAAGCCACGGAAAGGACATCCACGAGGGAGCTGTGTGTAGGCTGCGTAAATAAAAATGTGTACATACAAAATATGTGCTAAATATTAATTGCATGGGATTACAAAAAGTACAGATAAACTTAGATTTCTTCTCTTAACAAATTATAGATTAAAGTGTCATAAACCTTATGATTTTTTGTATACATGTGTTAGTCCTATATTTTAGCGAGTTTCATATTTGACTTATTCTACCACTACTGCACATTCAAGAGGTCATAAATCAATTGGATGTGTTTAGCCTACTGGATTAACCAATTACACACACCAGCAAAAGGGAATGGTATACAAATCAAATCTGAACCTCGCAATAGACCTTTTGAAAAAGTCTGCCTTGTGACGTAGTTTGCCGATAAATACAATCATTTGATTTGGCCAAAACAAAAGGCTGTGCGGGGTTTTCCTTTATCTGCAAACTACCTTCACAAGGCATACTTTTTAAAAAGGCCTATTGATCAGAATGAACCTCAACTTCGATTTTCTGCATCAGCATAACCTGATTGGCCTCCAGTATTGTATCTTGTTCTGATATCTTCATAAATACAAGATGACAACGGTCTGGTATTTTCTGGGCCCATATAGCCAAACAGCCATCTTGCCAACCACCTATAGCCAACAGCACGGATATACCTGTAAAATCAAGGTAAAAGTTATATCAATTTAAGATTTGTTCCCGCACTCTTCAAGGGATGAAACATCAGTGTTTTCAATTATTCCTGACTAAGAAGGGCTTGTAGGGTCACTATGTAATGTACCAAAATGCAAGACCAGCCAAACAGTTTAGTTTCACCATATAAATCTCAGTGTATAACACACAGTTTGAGTTTCATTAGACATTACTCTATTAGCCTATTATAGTACTTCACATCACTATTGTGTTTGAGTAGGCAATGCAGCAACTGTAAGATGTTATAATTCACCTCTAGCCTCAGCAAAGCAAACCAACTATAAAGGTACCCTTCTGGCTTGCCTTGGTATATGTAGTTCATACGGAAACGTATCATTATATGCATTATCTGATATAAATAAACATGGCTCTATTACTGTATTAAACTATTAAAAACTATCCACATTTGGAAAGTATTTTTTGTCGAAATATAATAGTATTTTATCAAATTGCAGTAATTATATAATTTTGTCAGCATAAAATGATCCGCACTTATACTCTTTGTAAGGAGTTCCTGAACGACATTTATAGCTTCCTTTTCGGTCTCTCAATAAAGGGCCGACTTGAGCCAGCACAGCCTCGTTTGTCATAGCCTTGTAATCGTCATGCAATGTCAAACATGAAATTTTTTCGATGCTCCCGTCGAATGTCAGTTTCCCAAGCGCTTCAGTAATTTCATGGCAACATTGGTATTCAAGAGCACCAACCAAGTTTTGATTAACCTGAGTATCAGGCTCTATTTTACAAATAGAGCCTGACACAAAACTTAACCTGATCGCTTTCCGCCCACAGCAAAGTTTATATTTAGTATCCAATCAAAATGTCGCAGGAGAAATTTAAATTTCAGACAACGACAACAACAATCTAATTATAGCATAGGCAGCCCACTAAACGGCTGAATTTAAATTAAAACTGCAATGAACTTATAAAATTAACAAAAATAATCACAAATTAGCGAAATATAT